ACAAGTAAGTCATATGTTTGTAATCTTCTTTTGATTAACATTAATCGATTTATTAATAATAATAGAAAACTAATCGTGTTTTGTAGACGTACATTGTACGGAATGATATAAATAATAAAAATAAGGAAAACACACAAATATTTATTACATTGTGAACCAGGGCCGTGCGAAGAGAAAACTGCGCCCAGGGCATAACATGAGTTTGGCGCCCTTTCCGCGGTTAAAAAAACAAACATTTAACTGGTACAAAATGCCCGAATGCCGTGTAGTTTTATAAGTCCGCCTTTATATGTATAGGTAATATTCTTTGTGGAATTTGAAATGAATACTTTTTCAGTTCTAATAAATATGTAACATACATAAATATTGTTAGGTATTTATATTATTATAATAAAACTAGATCAACTCATAAATTAGAACAATAAAGCTTCTTCTTTATTAAAACTATTTTTCTTACAATTAGTCTTTAGTTAATAAAAGAAAGCTGTTAATACAATAAAATTTAAGTCTTGAGTTAATAGAATAAAACTTGTTAATATAATAAAATTGTTTGAACAATTACAAAAATAAAATTTGTTAATAAAATAAAACTTTTCTCTCTCCGTTTGGACAATCACAAAAATAAAATTTGTTGATAAAATAAACTTCTCTGTTTAAACAATTACAAAAATTGTCAAAAATATAACTTAAAATTAGAAAATAATTACGTCAACTTTACTTTCCTAGCTTTTAAGGAAGCAAAATTATCAATTATTTTTTCCAAATTTAACAGTTGCGTTATTTCGTATTCAATTGCAAGTATACTTAAATTGCTTAATCTCTCTTGGCCCATTGCAGATCTTAAGTAATTTTTCACCAATTTAAGTTTGCTGAAGGATCTTTCTGCTGATGCGGAGGTGACTGGGATAGTTAAGTAAATCCTATATGCTGTCTCCATATTTTTGTAATTAGGTATCAAATCAAAATCATGAATTAATTGAAGGATTTCTAAGTGGTCCATTTCTTTAAAATTTTCGTTTAAAGGCGGAAACAATTTTTTCGCACTCAGTACTTCACTCAAAAACTCCGGCCCGTTCAAGTCAGCAGCATATTTATCAACCAGATCCATACAAAATTTGCTCAAAATATTTTCGTCCATTGATACTATATTTGAGCCAGAAAGAAATTCAAAATCTTCAGATACCTTCCGAAGTTTCTCAAATCTCCAGTTAAGTTGCTCGATTATTGTATCAATAGCTTCCAAGTAAGCAACACGAAATTTCTCATTCAAATTGGCACTTTCATCAGAAGCTTCATAATCAAATTGTTTTTTTGTTTTTCTTTTCCGACTCTCCTTAAATACAGGATCTATATCTAATGACTTGGCCAAATCTATACTTTCCTGTAGAAAGTTTGGAAACTTCTCATTTCTTATTGTGTTTATAATATTTTTCAGACTTTCAATAAGTTTGCTAGCGATCGAAACTGTAATAGTTTTTTTCTGTAGAAGAACATCTACATTATCAATTTCCTCCAAGATGTTATTCCACACTACCAAACTGCAGATAAAGTGAAAATTTTTTATCTGTTTTAAAAAGTTTTTTGCTCCTGAGTATGTTTCCTCATTTTTTCTAATTTGCGTAAGGTCTTCCAAAGCTTTAAAAATATTTGGCAACTCTTTGTACACTGCAGAAATAGCTTGCTTTTTCGATGACCATCGACTATCACAATGTTTCTTCAAAGAAACCGTTACATGTGACATAAGAATATCCCATCTGTCAGGAGAAGATGAGAAAAAGACAAATAAACTTTGGACAATACCAAAAAATGTCATCATTTCTGGTGATACGCTAGCAGCGTGAACTCCAACTAGATTTAATGAATGTGATGAACATGGTATAAAATAAGCTAATTTGTTGACTTCGATAATGCGAGCCTGCACTCCTTTGTATTTCCCCGCCATGTTCGCACCATTATCGTAACACTGAGCTCTACAATTCTGGATATCTAAGTTATCAGCCTGCAATTTGTTTAAAATATCTTGTGCCAGTCCTTCATCCGTTTTTTGTTTGGTTTCTATAAAATCGATAAACCTTTCTTCAATTGAACACTTTTCGTTTTGTGTTACCTTAACATATCGTATGATCTGAGTCATTTGCTCTTTGTGAGCTGTATCTGGAGTACAGTCAAAGGAAATAGAAAAGTACTTCGCTTTATGAATTTCGCTAATAATGATTTTTTTTACTTCGTGGGCAAGTAGGCTTATCACTTCATTCTGTATAATATTTGAAAAGTAAGAGATATGTCTTCCTGGAATTTTGATTGCCTCGACGTGACATCGTATTTCTGGGTCGTGTTTTGCTATTAACTTAATAGTTTTCAGAAAAACGCCGCAATTACTATCGTCTATATCATTTGATGAGCCTCTTAATGCCAAATTATTCTCGGCGCAATAAAGAATAGCGTTTATTACCGCTTTCAAAATTTTTCGCCATTTATTTTTTTCTGACTGAATATTTTTTTCCAGTTCAGATGTAATAACATGACCTGAATTCAATCGTCTCTCAAGTTCTTTCCAATGGATGTACGAGTTTCTATGTTCCTGTGAGTTTTCATGTTCATTAATTTTAGGATTTAATTTTTTCCAATTAGAAAAACCACGATCTGGATCGGATAACTTTGGAGGGCGAAGATTATACTTTCCAAATAATAAACATGAGAAGTAAAATACTGATCCTTTGTGTCTGCTATATGTTAACCAATCTCGTTTTACAGTTTCTCCATTAGGCATAGTTTTATATAACCATTTCGTAGAAAATCGTCGACCTTCGTTATCCATAGACTTTAAATAATCAGTATCTGTGCCTTGCTCAGGACCTCTTTCTACAAGAATAGCAATTAAAGAATGACTGTAGGGACGCTGCCATGTCGCTGGATCAAAGGCATTCAGTAATTCTTTTTCTCCTGCAATTTCATCTTGAGCAACAATGTCATCTGTATTAGTAGTTTCTGGAGAAGATAAATTCTGTTCTTCAGTTTTTGATTTCGATTCATTATCACTGTCTTGTGCAGAACGATCTTTTTCCTCAGTAAAAGTAGTCGATGAAGAACAGCCGGCATCTGAATTTTTTTCTTTATTCAGCCATTTATGCCAAGTGCTGGCAAGC